ATCATCAAACAGTTAACCCAATTACCCATCCCCATTATCTTCTTTACTCTTAAGGATCTACCCTAAGAATTAGCTATTCCTCGTTCATTCATTCCTAAGGATTATCCTAAGGAATAGACACGAAATACATCGTTGCTAATGACACATCTGTCAAGCACAACTGCTAATATTATCACTTAGGCGCAGCTGCCAGAATTGTGACATTCTCTATGAGGCGCATCTGCCGGTATTGTCCTTTAGGCGCAGCTGCCAGGGTTATCTCGTTTATCGACAGTATCGTTTCCGAGAATCCACTCGCAATACATGTCAATGGGTTTTTAGAGTACACCGGTGAACACATCGTTCACGACACCTACAGGTTGCGAGCCTGCTAGTGTTCTACTGGACTGTCTAGAATAGTCTGTGGTTGTCATCTATACTCTGCTAGATGACGGGGCCAACATTTAGGTACAAGGCTTCTCACATCGTCCACCTTTCACCCTCACCTCATGGTCTATTTCACCTCTCACCTCATCATCCAACTCATATTTCATCTATTACATCTACCCATGTTTTACCCCAACATTTTCGTAGAAATAAAATACATATACAGTTTAAATCATTTAAAACGTGTATAAAATCGTTCATCTAGCATAGACAGCAAGTACTCAGACAATATGCACACATAGCACGTAATTTATATAAAATACTTCGTATCTATGTGTAAGATGAAAGTAACTATGCACTCACCTGAAAGGTGGTGACTCTGTACTTGAACAACGCTTCGTTATCTCAAAATAATTTTCCCTTGACAAAACCTAGTATCAATACCACTAGGGTTTAGTCTAACGTTAACCGCGACTAATTAATAGTCTAGCTATTATTACTATTATATAAGCGTTAAGCAACACCCTTATACAACTCACAATAATAGCCCAAATAATTATTTTAAGGTCCTAATAATGTTACTATATTGAAACATAAGCTATACTAGAGATAGGGTAGGCATAGCTCACTTACAGCGGGTTTTTCTCAAAACCGGGCTCCGCTGGAGCAGCGTTCCCGAGCCGAAAGTCTCTTCTTCTCGGAGCCTTCGGGCGCTCTGGGGCTTCCGCCTCGTGCTAGGGAGGTTCCCTAGGCTTTTCGGGGGGTTTCGGGGCTAGAGAGAAGTTCTAGAGAGAGAGGGAAGTGATGAGAGGTGTGAGGAATGAAGAGGGCTTCACTTCTTATTTATAGGAGGCTGGAGGGTCACTCACGTCGTGAGCCAACTTGGGCACCAAGTCACAGCTTGGTGCTGACACGTGGCATCGCACACAGGGTGGAAATCAGCCGATTTTCAAAAATTCATAACTTTCGTATACGAGCTCCGTTTTCGACGTTCTTTATATCCACGCGTATGTAAAAATAAGATCTACAACTTTCATTTTGACTCTGTCGGCTAGTTCTCGACCGATCTTAAATTTAACAGTACGAGGAGATTAAACTGTTAAATAACAGCGAAGAATTCGTAACTCCTTCATACGGACTCCGTTTTCGTCTGTCTTTTTACCGTTGAGTTCCTATTAATGAGATATTCAACTCTCATTAAGGTTGCGTAAGCCAAAAACCGCTCGAACTAAAATTCGAGTTTCGGGTCGTGCACTGCTATGCCAAATCTTAGAAAAATCATAACTTCCTCATACGAAGTCAGATTTGGGCGTTCTTTTTTTTGTATGTTCTTGGTTTAACTTATTCCATAACTTTTTTTAGATTGATAAGGCTAAAAAGTCATCCATCATAAATTCACTATTTACGTCTCCCGGTGCCGTGCCGGTTTTGCCGAAAAACTTCGACGGGACATAACTTATTCGTTATAACTCGGATTTCGGTGTTCTTTATATGTACGGAACCCTTGAGACATATTCTACTACTTGGTTAAGATTATTTATTCTAAATAATCTTTTGTCAAAAAGTCATTTTCGACCCTTATTATCTCTAAATTGACTAGCCCGGATCTACGGGCGTTACAAATAGATGAAAAGCTTTTCTTCTTGTCAGCTTTTTCTTTTAACTTCTCCTTCAGATCTGATATCTCCTTCTCCCTTTCAACCAGCTTCTTCTTCAACACTTTTATACCATCTTGGTTCTGATTGATGATTTTGTCTTTCAGATCCAATTCAGCCATGAAGAAAACGGATAAAGGAGCCTTTGGATCTAACATTAGTTCATGAAAACAAGATAAATGACTCACATCAATTGCACATTTATTTATTTTACTTTTATTCTTTTCTTCTTCATTAAAAACATTTGTATCTTTGTTTATTCTCCCATTTAAAAATAGTTCTCTCATCTGAGAGACATTATAAGGACCAAACATACCTAATGCAGTTAGATAATACCAAAGATAAGAAAACGTACCATACTCTTTCCTCTTTGTTTCTGATGTTGTCTTCATGTCTGGATGATAGTATAAGATATCTTCTTCTTCTCCTCTTTCTAATTTTTGAGTTTCTGGGAAATACTTGAACTTCTGAATCTTTAACAGATCTTAGAACAAATGTTCTAAACCGCTCTGATACCAATTGAAAGTCCCAAACCCTTTGTAGATTCGTAGATCAAATATAAACAAGAAAGAACAAAAAAGAACAATGAAGAACATGAAAAGTAAAGAACACAAAAGATTATCCAAATTGTCTCTTTCACCAAGAAAGATTTTGTTTTCACCAAGAAAACAAGTTGTCACAAAGAAGGTTACGACACCAAGGCGTTTACAAGACACTCAACATTAGGGTTAACCCTAATGTTTTATATATACTTATCTAATCTAGTGAATCCCTTTAATCAAGGGATTGTATCTAATCTAAATATAAACTGAACAAGTAAATAAGGAATGGATCATATCAGATCTTCTCCAGATTCGGATATCAGCACCAACACTTCATAAGTTGATCAGAGCATCAACTTCAGCGTCTAGGAGATCAGCTTCAGCTTCAGTCATCAACGTCAGGGTCAAGCTGATCAGCTTCAGCTTCAACAGATAGTGAATGACCATCAGTGAGTATCATTAACGTATCATCTGATCCATGTGTCATCAGTAGGGATGAGATTTAGAACCGGAAAACCGGACCGAAACCGGAATCGTTAGAACCGAAATATGTAGAACCGGTCCGGGTCCCGGATTTAAAGAATGACTTTATTCGGGTTCCAGGTAATCCGGCTTTCGGGTCCTTGGGTCCGGGTAAACCGGTTTAAGAACCGGAACCGTGTTAGGAACCGGAACCGGTTGGGACGAAACCGGTTTCTATGAAAAGTTTGAAACATGCATATCTCATCCGTTTGAAGTCGGATTGGCATGAGGTTTTTTCCAGAGTATAGTTTATAGTTTGTACATGATTTTAGAATATAATTTTGTCATTTTTGAGTTAATATTCATTGACTTATAGTCCCTCAAATTCGGGATATCAAAGCTGGACATTTTATGTTTTTCAATTTTTTTTTGTATTATGTGAATGTTTTAGAACATGCATATCTATTTCGTTTGAAGTCAGAATAGCATGCGATTTTTTCCAAAGTGTAGTCTAGAGTTTGTACATGATTTTAGACTATAATTTTGTCATTCTTCGTTTCATATTCATTGACTTACAGTCCCCCAAAGTCGGGGATATCAAAGTTATGAATTTTCTGTTTTTCAGCTTTATTTTTATATTTTGTGAAATTTTAAAACATGCATATCTAATTCGTTTAAAGTCAGATTATCATGAGGTTTTCTGCAACGTGTAGTTTAGAGTTTGTAAATTATTTTAAACTATAATTTTGTCATTTTTGGTTTTATATTCATGGACTTACAGTCCCCCAAAGTTGGGATATCAATGCTGTGAATTTTCTGTTTTTCAACTTTATTTTTATATTTTGTGATATTTTAAAAATGCATATCTAATTCGTTTGAAGTCGGATTATCATGAGGTTTTTTTCAACATGTAGTTTAGAGTTTGTATATGATTTTAGACTATAATTTTGTCATTTTTGGTTTAATATGCAATGAGTTACAGTCCCCCAAAGTTGGGATATCAAGGTTGAAAATTTTCAAAGTTCAACCACTAAGTAATTATCACAAACTTCAAGATTTCCCGGGTTTTCCGGTTCTAGACCTAATTTACCCAGTTCCACCCGAACCACTTTAATGTTTTTGGGTTTTTTTGTTCTAGACCCACTTTACCGGGTACCTTACCCGGAACCAAACCGAAATCGGTTCCTATATACTAGTCCGATTTTCGATCCTACAAAATCCCGTTAATCAGTTTCCGGGTTTTTCGGGTCCGGGTCTACCAGTCCGGGTTTGGACCCACTCTCATACCTAGTCACCAGTGTATAACCATCAACGTCTGGACACATTGATCAATCTTCAGTAGATGGTGTCTTCATGTCTTTGGTGCTAATAGAGTCTTCAGGGTCTTCCAGTCATCAATGGATGTTCTTCAGTCTTCGACATATGAACTTCCATCAACATATCTTCAGATTAACTAACTAAACTAGCTCTGACATATCAGCTTGTCTAAGTTATACTATTTACACTTACTTAGACAAGAATGACCGTCTACATTGAGCATATAAAGTATAACTATGAAGTATATATTTTGCATCATCAAATCTATACAATTGAGTGACCCAACATCCGTACTATGTGATTTTGAGATTTTATACTATGATGTTATTTTACTATGATACACTCTTGGTTGTTTGACATGAACATTGGATATCTTGGAATGAACTAAAAATGAAATTTTTATCTGAAATTTTGGGATGTTACAGCACAACCACCACAAGAACCACAATCACAAGCTTTAACCCAGTAGCTACCTTGTTTGACTGACCTAAGAGCTTCTTTAGCCTCTCAACCTCATCATTCTCATTTGATAGGAGAAACTCCAACTCTACCACTTTAGTCCTGTACTTACACAGTTCAGAGTGATCCTCTCCACTGTCCGAATTTTGCTTCATTGAGTAAATCAATGTTTTGTAATAACCATCTTCCAACTCATCATTTATCCACTCAAAGAAGTCGCATTCATAAGCTTGGTCTATTAATCATTTAAACAAGCACATGACATAATTGTTAATAAAAAAATATTGGTCTGTTAATCAGGTAAACAAACACAAAATGCCATAATTGTTAATCAAGTAATCTTTAATGTATTGTTTATGACAGACTCATTAAGGTTTTTGAAACCCTAATTTCTTGAATAAAGCTTAGATTAAGTAAAAATATTATCAACATAGAAGTAAATGTGGGTAGATCGGAAGCTCACCAAGCTATTACGACAGTTAAAGAACCTCCTCCCAGGATTTCCAATGCGCCACGATGTTCGTTGCAATGAAGGTTTCTCACAGTCATATTCAGGAGGGTTGTTCACGTCGTCGTCGTTGGAACCTCGTAGCCTCAACATTCGACTGGTGGAGGATGAGGAAGCCATCAGGAGATTTCTTAAGTTGAAAAACTTGGCTTGAATGGCCGAATGAAGGAAACAATGTAACCGAGAGTGTGCTATATGATGGTATAATTTGTTAGGTAGGTGGTGAGTGGGTTGTGACGTGGCTGAGTAGCTACAATAACGGTTTAGCTTCTCTCACACGTCGGATTGCCAAGTAAGCTTCGTAACCGGACAACCGACTAAAATCGATCCAAAAAACAGGTAATTTGAAAGTTGAGACACTAATTAAGCAAAAAAAAAAAAAAAAAAAATCTTGAGTGACCAATCCAGGACAAAGCCAAAACTTCGTTGTTCTACAGTGTTAATTTCTCCAAGAAAAAATTCCCAAAAAAACATATTTATGATTAATTTTTAAAGTAAATGTAGAAAAAATTCACTATCATGATAATTTTAGTGAATATGAGCAAAATCATCATAAAAATGAATCATCAAGATGTTTTTTCGGGAATTTTAGTTATGAATCATGTTATTTTTATTCTAGTGATTCATTTGTTTTCTTCGCCAAAAAGATATACAGAAAAAAACTTCTCACCTTCCTATATATATATATATATATATATATATATATATATATATATATATATATATATATATACACACACACACACACACACACACACACATACCCCAAAGAGTTTCTAGCCCAACGATATCCAATGTTGCTCTTCCTTCTTGAGGTTGAGGGTTGAAGTCACGTCGTGGATATATGTGAGTTTTAGAAGTAGGTTAGATTTACCGTTTCAAAAAAAAATCCTTGTGGAATATTCTCCTATTTTTCTTCCTATTTTTTTTTCTACCAATGTAAAATGATGATAGATGTCTTAAAATATAAATAATTTGATCAAAATATGACACTTATCATCATTTCAATAGAGGAAGATTATTAAGAAGAAAATATAGGAAAATATTTAATTTCTCATATGTTAAAGCCGTTTGTATTTCACTTCGTTGTCCAACGAAGTGTGTTATTTTGGTGTGTTTCTTGGCAGAAACTAATTTGTCATTCGAAGATAGAGACACTTGAGGATTGATGAAAGATACGTTTTGACGTTATTTTATGGCCTTTGGATATAGTCAAATTATGTCTAGCGTATGTTTCAAGATTGATTGGACATCTTTTGTTTGTGTATGAACGTTTTTGGAGTTTTAATTGTGTTATTATCTTAAACCTTTTTTTTTCTTTTCAAAATACTATTTTAATAGTTCATACAGTGAGCTTTTTGTTCTATAACTAATGTTGAGTTGAAGGATTAAAGATGTAGTGTATGAAGTGGAAGATGAGTGTTTTTATGTTTTCCCTGAGTTGTCTTGTATGATTAATATCTCCATGGATGGGTAGCAGGTTAGGTTGAGTATAATGGTAGGGATGGTGAAATTACGTGGAATAGATATTTGACACATGATGTTGGTGGGTTGGTGTGCAAAGGTCTTATAAAGTATGGTTCGATAGATCATAGATGGCCCCGTCTTTATATGGTCCCAACTTCAACAGCTTCAGTGTCATTCATAAGAAAGAGCGTAGTTGTGGTATATTGCAATAAGACATCAACTTTATAACGATTATTACTATTATTATTATAGTAACATGCTTTTTGTAATTATAACTCCACGTTGTTTTCTATCATTACGTCTAAATATTTGTATATAAATTCCTTAATTTAAGTGAAAATTTCTAAATTGTAGTATTGTTTAAGCATTTTTTAAATCTTATTATATAATAATGAGTAGATCAAGATTCGATCATACCTGACACAACAAATGTACACTTCCCCTAAACTCCTTCCATTAAAAAAGTCGCCCAAATTTTAAACTACAAACAAACTAACAATTTCTCTTATTATAATCCGATAGCAATAATAATGTACAAGATCAATAACCTCATGTCCTTGGTGTCAGGTCACCACCATTATAATCTAGAAAAATTTACTAAAACTATCAACGGTAAAAACTAACATTTTTTAACCACCCTATATAAATTTACCTTATTACCCTTCTATCAAGGTTCCAACTTGTTCTCCAGTCAACGCCTTTGAAACATTCCCAGGCTCCAGCATGTTAAATATCACAACTATAAATACAAAAAAGATTCATCTAAGTAAAAAAAAAAAAAACAATCATTTTCTTTTTTTTGATCTTTTGATTTTAATGATTTATTGAATAAACTAACCAGGAATGGCATTCTCTTCACAAAATTGAATCGCCATTAAATCCATTGAAGAGCAATCTCTAGAAACCGCATCACGAAAGGAAATATGATCCAATGCTACATTGTTTTTATCGCATATACCATTTACATTTGTACCTTTAATAACTGCATCTGCGTTGACTAGTCAACAAAACAAAGAAATTTTTAATTTTATCTCAAATTCCATTATTTATTTTTATTTAAGAAGAAAAAACTCAAAATAAGTATTAATCTTACTTTCAGAGGCTCGTAAAGCTGCTGCTGTATCAGTTGTAAAAAGTGGGTTCCCAGTGCCCGCCCCAACACCGCCAAAAATGACAACTCTACCCTTGTCCAGGTGGCGCATGGCACGTAAGCGGTTATATGGTTCAGCTATTTCTGGCATCACAAACGCACTTTGTACGCGCGTTTGAATATTCAATTTCTCTAATGCTGATTGAAGTAAAATTGAATTCATAACTGTTGCCATCATGCTGTAAAAAATCATGAAACACAATATTGGAATTTATAAAAGAAATAGAGAAATTAAATGAAGAGAAATAAATACCCAATTTGATATGCTGTTGGCCTATCTAAATCAGTTGCTGACACCCAAGAATCGCCACAAAAGAAGTTACGCCCTCCGATGATAATAGCAACCTAGAATTAGAAGTTATAAATATATTAATGAAAAAATAATTTAAAAAAAGGAAGAAAAGAAAGATAGGTTAAAGTTAATTACCTCAACACCACAGCGAGATGCGGTTGCTACTTCTTCTGCAATTTGTAAAGCAACCTAAAAGTGGAAAGATTTGAGTTTAGAATGTAGATTGTATATGGAAATGTGTTTAAGAAAAAAGAGTTGGAAGAATTTGAACCTTTGGGTCAATGCTTTGACCACTTCCAGCTAATGAGGTGCCACTGACTTTAAAGACCACTCTTTTCCATTTGGTGTTTGTGGTTGTTTTTATGTTGTCCAGAACAGGAATGCTGTTGGGGGTAAGCCTTTAAACATGTGGATCATATATATAAGAACACAGAAGAAGATTTGATGTATTTTGCATAATGATTACATGTTTGTTTCCATATGGTTTGTCAACTTAGCAATCGTTTTAAAGGGATTGATATATGATAATGCATTTGATTGTGATCTTAAGTCTGTTCTTGTTCTTGTTTCTATGTAACTGTCCTAAAAAGCTTTGAACTTTATCCAATGTATTAATCAGAATTTGTTTCAATCTTTTCATGGTTTTGTAATTGATGCGAGGGCATATAAGCATGTAGTAATACAATCCTTGATGAACAAATCATAATAAGTATCACCAGATTAAAGATTTTATGAACTAGAATAAGAATTGCGAAGGAACAAGGGGATTTTTAAGTAGAAACCTGGCAGATCGTCTTGGCTTCTGAGCGGAGGAAACTCCAATGGACTTATCATCGTCGGATGCTGCTCCGCTCTTGGTGATCGTCGCATTTCCAAACACTCGTTCCATTTTTTTGAACCAAATCCAGCTACTAACGCTACCACCATTACTCTCCATTCTCTGCGTCTCGAGCTTATACCTCTTCTTCAAATTATCAATTTTGTTCTTGCACTGCTCGATACTCTTACGCGAATGTTTATCACAACCTTCAGCAACCAATTCAGCCACCACTTCCCAATCTTTCCCTCGCAAATTACTCCGATTCAACGCCATGTATTTGTCCGTGTATGAGTCAAGGAGGATCGCGATAGCAGTATCACTCCACTCCTCCCGCTCCTTCCGGTGATCTCCACCTGCGCTGGATTCGTGTTTCGGTTTCTTGCTCCGCCTTCCATTCGGAGTGATTTCACCAGATTTCGTTAGGTCTTCTCCGGTACCCGGAGAATTCACGGCGGCAGGCGTGGCGGGAGAATTTGCCGTGGCAACGATGGCCGTCGACTCTCCGTTGTTGATGTTATTACTCCCTTCGCCGATCGGAGGCGATTCAGCATTTGTTGATTGAGCCATTGAAAGGAGAAAGAGAAAGTAATTGGGGTTAGGGTTTCTGATTTCTCCGACGAGGGGAGGAGAAAATAGACAGACGACGTTAATGAGCCGTTAAGCTTTACTTAGGTTGTTGGCTCAGCTGTTTCGTGCCGTTAAGGATTTTCCGTCACGTCTCTGTAAGGAACCCGTCAAAGTGTTGGACTGTACCCTAATCTTTGTACTAATTTCATTGAAACCCCTCAGATCTTTGTTTAAGTTAAGAATGAGTACCTTAAAGTTAGAAATCACTCATTTTACCCTTCTATGGTCTTTCGTCCAGAATGGTGTACTTTACTACTACAAGGGTTGTTCGGATACAAATAATATAAATTGTGTTTTAACCTTTTAAAAACTAGTAATATTTTAAGAATTTTAAAAGTCATGAAATCTATCATTTTGTTTGCATAAAAGTTACGATCAAGATAAACAATGTTGATGATCATGATGATTTAATTAACCGATCTTGGATCATCTATCATGGCCTAGTCATCTTTGTACGTTAGTTTAAGCTTCATTTATTTTGTTAATCAAGGTAAAACGGATTTTAAGTTGTGCATCTTAATATCAACGAAGAGACATTTTAGATCATTAATATCACGATCCAACCGAAAATAATTAATACGTTACTCAATCTGTATCACACTCTAATATTTTCACCACCCTATACGATCACCTAATAAATGTAAATATTCATGGTTATTTCCACTAACAAAAACCTATTTTCACAATCTTTGGCTCATATATATATATATATATATATATATATATATATATATATATATATATATATATATATATATATATATATATATATATATAAAAGCTAGGTTCAAATGTGGATTGACATCTATTATGCGGACGTGTGGACAGTGCTATTATGTGAGAATGACAAAGAAAATATATTGTTTGATAATGTGAATGCGTTCAATCTTACATAACTATTGTCATTATCATGCATTCACTCACTAATTAAATCGTCTATAAGGTTATTATAGAATATATATTTATTATTATTATTATTCTCATTCTGTCTGAATGTTGTCAGAATGTTTATTGAGTCGTATTCTGTAAGAATACAAATGAGTGAAAAACGATGCGTAACAATAAAAATGAATAAAAATTAGTGAGAATGCATGAAAATAACAATAGTTGTACGAGGTTTAACGTATTCATATTAATAAACAACATATTCTTTTAGTAATTATCATAGAATAACATTATCCACGCGTTCGCACAATATTGTTAATCCACATTATAACCTAGCCCATATATATATATATATATATATATATATATATATATATATATATATATATATATATATATATATATATATATATATATATATATATATATATATATAGGGAAGGGTTATTTGGAAAACAAAAAAACCCTAAAAATCATAAAAATGCATAAAAAAATACCTAGAGATCACAAAACTTTTTTTTGACATTTTTTATGAAAAATTCGCAGGTTTTTAAAGAAATTCACTGAAAAAAACTTTGAAAAAAAAATTTATAAAAATAAAAAATAAAAAAAAACTGATTTTTAATTTTTTTTTCAGCGAATTTTAATAAAAAGCTGCGATTTTTTATAAAAAAAATTCAAAAAAAAGTTTTGTGATCTCTAAGTATTTTTTTTATGCATTTTTTATGATTTTTAGGGTTTTTTTAGGGTTTTTTGTTTTCCATAGAACCTAAACCTCTATATATATATATATATATATATATATATATATATATATATATATATATATATATTCTATCATAGTGATAGATGCTTTAATGCAAATCATATTTTCTCAAGTAAACGAAACACAAAAGGTTTCATTAAGCAATGACGGGTCCACAAATGCCCTACATGACGATAAATTAGCGGCTATATAGTGTAAGTGTAGCCCTACACCACCTAGGAGGAAGTTATTTACCAAATCTTTGTCATTGATGGAGAATGTGACCAAGCTACATCACCAAAAATAACCAAGTAAATGAAAAGAACATTACCATACATGTCCAGGGCCAGTCCAAAGATATAGTGGACCCAGGAAGAAAAGAAAAGATGGGCATTCAGAATCATAAATATAATAAAAATTAAATCGAAAATAGATACACCGTTATAAAATTTAGTATTTTTATTAAAAAAACACAAATATAGTCAAAACAATACTAAAGAAAAATATTTCCCATAACATTTTTAAATAAGTTAGTTTTTTCTTTATATAATTATACCATAAATTTTAGAAAATTTTGGTCATTTAGAGACATGGAACCTAGGCGTCCGTCTGTATTGCTCACCATCAGGCCGGTCTTGTATGTGTCCAATTAATAATGTAACAATGTAAAATATATTTACTGTTTTTGTAATTTTCTTATTATTTGAGACTTACTCTATATTGGAGTGTTTAAATCTCAAGTAATTACCACTAGACCACTTTGATGGTCCGTATAAGGTAATCATGATGTTTTTCACCATATAGAATTCCCACATTGTATAAATAATGATCGTTAAGCCCTTGAATAACAAATCTCTAGTTTTTGAACAAGTTTTAAAGACTCCTCTCTAAATATGTATGTTGAAGTCTTACTTTTGAATAGCATATTACTTATCAACATACTACACAAACCACCATTAAATTAGTACTTCAACACCATTCAACATCTAATGAGATCTAAAAGCGACCACCAAATTTAAAAATACGACCATGTGCTCTCTTATTCAAATATTTTTTCATTGTAATTAAATTATTTAATTTCTTTTATTTAAATATTTTACTATTAAAACTTTATTACAAGAAGTTTTTAATAGTAACAAAAAGTTAAATAATAAAATCATAATAAAGTTTTTTGAATAAGAGCTTAGCTAGTACTTTTTTAAATTTCTTTTTTAACAGCCGGATTTTATTAAAAATAACCACCGTCAATGAGCTAGTGCAACAAACAATAAATTACATCAAAATATATGAATTTTTTTGTTCCTATATGAAAACACCGACAAAAACACAACAATCTTATCAAACATCACATCTTTTCTAAACTAGGAAGGATCATAACTGCAAGTGTTACGAACTTGCCAACGGACCCAAACAGTAGCGAAGCCGGGATTTAAGAATCTCACATCATAATAATATATTAAAATATAATGTTATACCCGAATAAAGTAATAGGTCTAAAATTTTAAAAGAAAAAATCATAAAGAACTAAAAATTTGTCTCCATTAACCACAATCTTCAAACGTTTTAATTCAACTAACTATAAGCATTAACGTATATTCATTCATTAACCTCCACTTATTAAAATAAGTAATTATAACATAGATATATATGGTTCATTTTAGAAAATTCAAATATATATATATATATATATATATATATATATATATATATATATATATATATATATAAACATAAGAAATAATACCTTATGCACTTTAAGTTGTGCTCATATTTGTTTAATGGAATAGAAATCATCTATAATGTCATCCATAGGAAATATATCATCAATCTCTCTCTCTCTCTCTCTCTCTCTCAATGTTAACAAACAAACGATTTTTTAAGAAAATCATTATTCATGGTATTTCAGAGTCGTGTTTTCATAATTTTCATTGCTGAAAATGCTCTTTCAGATGTCGCGGCAGAAATAGGGAGAGTCAATAAGACGAATCAATTTATCAAATAAATGATAAGTACCTGACTTTCCTGTCTCATTAGGCCTCTACACAACTCATAAATTGTAGAATAATTTTTCTGTTGTGAGTGATTTTGCACATCTAGTTCATAATGTTGTAACTCAATTTTCAACAAATTCCTTTCGTGCTCTGTAAAGTCCATAGGATAATAGGATAATATGATGTTGCCAATTTACATATGTCCTCAACATTTAAGGATTTTCTTGGATCTAGCATAACACTGAGACAGTGAAGCTCTGTTGCAGACTCGTTAAATCTGGAGTTCAACTCTTGCAACTGACTATCAATAGTTGCAACTGACTATCAATAGCAGTAATGAATAGTTCAACTCGTTAATGATGCTCTGTGGTTATATTATCTTTGTCACGACGTTGGCGAATTACATATCTATAAGTTTCATTCATGTTAGGGACATGAATGCTATTTTTTCTCACAAAAACAAACCACTTGGTCCAAAAGCATTTGCCAACCTTCATCTCTCAACTTTTGAATCAATATTTTTGTTGTAGAAACCAAGGATAAAACATTAACAATATCAATAGATTTTTGTTGTAAAATTTACCTTCTTAATTAAACCCGACAGCCCCCCTGGTGTCTCCGCCACTGAACCCAAATCCAAAGTTGATTTCTTCATTGCAAAAAGTTGTGTGAGTATCCACCTAATAAATAAAAACATATTATAAATATATACAACAGGTAAAGTTACTGATTTTAATACATAAATTGCAACTTTAGTCTCTCAATTTTATATAATCTGTCATTTGTAACTCTTTTTATTTTGTAAAATAATATTTTTCATCCCTATACTTTTTAAAATATCACTTTCACCCCTTTATCTTTCATCTCTCAATTTTATATAATCTGTCACTTGCAACCCCTCTATTTTGTAAAATGATATCTTTCATCCTTCTATGTTTTAAAATATTACTTTCACCCCCTCTCCCTACCTTTAACTTAATATCACTTTCACACTTTCATTTTCTAAACTTTCGTGTTTATCTTCGTCCCCGTAGTATATATAATATGATTTTCCTTCTTATATTTTCTTAATACGCAACAAAAACATATAAAAATCTGCAGCAAAGCGCGGACTCAATTACTAGTATTTATGTGTAGCACCTGGTTCCTAGTATGTATTTTATTTAAGTATTTTGCATTTTTGGCCTGAGACTTGGCGAGTTGAAGGACCAACTCGTCGAGTAGAAACAGATTTGATTCGAGATTTAAATGACGGACTCGTCGAGTCGGCTTCAGACTCGACGAGTAGACTCTGACTGGACAAAACCCTAATATAAGGGTTTGCACCCTATTTAAACATCTCATTCAGCCACCCTTCGTCCCTATTGCTTCCAGAAAACCCCCATA